GAAAGCTATTGTTTAACAATTTTTAACATATTTTTGTCTTAGTCTTATATAATAAATTATATATATATGATAAAAATATACTTTTAAAGTATGCTCTATTTATGGGTAAAAGTGCTCAATATCAGGGATAGAGCATATGCAAATAATCGTGGACACTGTAGTTAACACAACAGTGTTTCATGCTTCAATGCAATAGTCAACCCTGAAGATTGCATTGAATCATGACATAGATTGTCACTTATATGTATATATGCATGTGTATAGAAGTATGCTAAGTATATAGGACAGTATGGAAAATTTCTACTTTGACATATTTTACCTAAGACTTGGCATCATCAGACACAGAATTTTATTTCACCAGAACAAAATCTACATTGAGACAAAATATGATTCATATTACATGACTGAATGCTTGATTGTTTTCCTCAAATGCATTGTTACAGATCAATCACATTTTGTCTTATTAATGTAGATTTTTTTCTTATCAAATTATTTTTCTGATGTAAAATAAAGAAAATGTCCCCTTCTGTCTGGGTTCAAACCTGCATCCCCCTTTATAGAGAAAACTACAGTCTGATCTGGCACTCTTTAAACCACTCAGCCAAAACTTGCTGGCTTCTCAAGTTCTCTGTTGATCAGGGAAAGTGGTCAGTATATTGATAACTCCATTTATACTTGTCCAGTTTGTGAGATGCTTTTCTATGCTTGGATCAGCCTCTTTATTTTTTCTCAGCACCCACATAAAAAATGTTGTCTGCTTTGTTATATGAGAAAATTAAATGAAATTAATAAATAAAGTAATAATCATACTTATTATAAAACCCAGGTTGTGTGTGTGTGTGTCTGTACGTTTATATATTGGATCGGATTTCCTACATTTTTCAACCGATTTCAACAAAACTTCACAGGACTGCGTAAAATTACCTTGTGGTGGTTCTGACAGCACCAAAAATTGGAAAAACATAATTGTTTTTGCACGAAATCAATTTGAAAACACGATTAAGAGTCATCACAAGAATGAAAGGGGGACAACTCATATCGAGTTATACTTATAAAAACCCAGGTTATTTGTGTGTGTGTTCCTTTATATATGGGATCGGATTTCCTACATTTTTCAACTGATTTCAACAAAACTTAATTTTTTCTTTTTGGCAGGTAGTGTTTCTTATTGTCTTGCACACTTTTTTCTTTATTTTTATATTCAGAATGCTTTAAAAATTCCATTTACAAGACAATTGTTTATAATAAAATTTCTATACAATTGGTAGACTCATAACGATTGAAAACGTTTTTCTTTGAGTTTGGTTTTGACCAATTCGTAAAAAAAAAAAAAATTAAAAAAAATAAAACTCATTAAGACATGCGTGTCCGTCAACCTTAAACAATAATCTTTGTCAATTTTATTTTTTAGTCTTTATGATGGTCAATACTTGATCTATCTCTTACTGCTACATCCCCGGGCAACGGCGGGCTCTACTGCTAGTAATGAATAATAAAAACAAGAAAAAAAAAATACATCTTCCCATGATGCTAGTAATAAAGGAACTGGAAATTTTATTATCCCACTTGGCTTCATCAAACCCCCGTTAGATAGCACTGTTTAAGTCTATAAAGAGACATGTTTCCTCCTCCTCTCTTTTTCTCTCTGTTGCTCTGAGATGTAGCAGAAGAAAAGAGATCCCTGCTAGGGCATGTTCGTTTACATGGTTCATTGACAACTAAACTCTCTTTCCACTTTCCAACACAGTGTTCTCATGTGTCTTCCAAAACTTCCACCTATGAAGTAAATCACCCTTTTCTTTGGTCATTCCAACTCAGTGCAAGGCTGACTTGAGCTCAACCATTATAACGATGCTTCTGGACCAAAAAGAAAACTGACACACCAAAGAGACATTGAGAACTTTGTTTTACTAGTTTATATAAAAAAAGAGGATAAACTGTACATAGTAGAAACCCAAATTGTTGTATGCTTCTTAATTATTTACATGTGAACGCACACACACATACACCTAAAACATACACAACATGTAACCATTAAATTCCATAGTTATTATAATAAATAATGATGAATGAAAATATTTTTTGGAGAATTTTGGTAAATCTTAAGCTAAAGAACCAAATTCTGAAATATTCACAAAAGAATCTTACCCTGAGTTCTTTTAAACAGAATGTAATCTCTGTGTTAATTCCAATATCACAGGCATTAAACTCATCAAGATGGAGTTTCACTTCAGTGATCATCTGTTTTGTTGAATCTATAAACACAAATAGACAGACAAAACAGAAGATAGATGTGATTATATCAAAAAGAGATAAATTTATTTAAAACATATATAATGATAAAAAAAATGAAATATTTGCCATACTAAAATGCCCAATCACCCACCATTTTCTGTACAGTGGCTCATTGGTCACCCAACAGTTGATATCATCCAGGTTGGGAAACCTGGTTAGAGTTTAATAGATGTGTAATTGCTATTGAAGTTGGAAAAAAAAATCATCTTTAAGAAGGATACACAGGCTCCAAATTGATAAAAACAAAGGCTGGCCTTAAAAATATAATCACTCTAAATCATTTATGATCATGGACATGTTACACAATACCATTTTTATGACAAAGTACTTATTATTTTCCTTGTTTTAGTCCAAACATAGAATGGTGACAAATCTAATGACAAAGCACTAATTTTCATTTGGCTTATGCTAATTTTAGTAAATATCTATAAATCATTAATTTTAGAGGAGTTCTTCTTACCATATTCTTCAAAATAATTCTTGAAAGAGATTTTCTCAGATGATACAACCAATGTTACTTCTTCTTGGTTATTTTGGAAATGAATAACTGCCTCACACAACATCCTGAAGAAAAGGCAAAAACATTTTGTGGAAATATCATTTTTCACATATTAATCTGTGTTGGTTTTAATGATTTTTACACCAAAATCAATAAATACATTACTTATTGATTTTTTTCAATCTTGACATTGTTCACTAGTTAATTTTCCAGTCATTGTTAAGTGTATACTTTTTTAATTGTTTAACTATTTGAAACATTATTTTGTTACCGACATCGTATGAAATTAAATTGTATAGGGTGCATCTTCTATGTGACATATCCCTTCAGAATATGGGCAATCATGGCTCTCCACAATTTCCTATCCTTTGCAGCTCTTAGTAAAATCTGTCTTTTTGCTATCTCTCCTAATCACTGTTCTGCCAACCATTTATACAAGCTTGTTAGATAGGTTATGAGCTGCTTTCCTCTATCTTTCTTGCCTTCAATGTTTTGTGAGTGCCAAATTTACTAAGCCCTCTTTTCACAGTGTGTAGGTAGGTATTCTATAAAATGTTTAGCATTTTTGGCATAATATGAAATAGGCTTATTTCATTTTAACGTTTACTTTACAAAGGGATTTTAATAGAATGACTGGGTATTCAATATAATAATGTCTAGCATATTTTTTGAATAAACATAATAGACAGCAAGCGAATACTTCTTCTATGGCATCCATGTGTCTGAAGCTCAGGTCACACTTGCTCTACATAGACATATTATACCTTTTGGGAATCAGGATGATCCCTAGATTAAAAATCTGCCCTTCATCTGATGCTTGAACATCCAGCATTAAGGTTTGTGTCCAGATGAGGAAAGAACAGTTAAAAATTCATATCTGTCTTCTATCTCCCTCTATTTTATTTTATCTTCTAAATTAATAAATGGCAAATTCTGTCTGTCCATCTGTCTGAAAACACCTTTAACTTGGGCCACACTTGTTCTATATAGACATATTACACTTTTGGGGAATCAGTTTTTAGTTTTGGGCCACAGTCCCAATTTGCCATCTGCAGTAGCTAGCTTAAAAGTCCTTAAAAGCTAGTTATTAATAAAGTGAAACCAAAATTTAAAAATGAAGTGTGATAAAATGTTAAACTGGTACCTGAAACAAACTAAATAAAAATATTGTTTTAAGTTAGTTATTAATATATAAGAGACTTTATTAAGTAGACAGCAGGGGAACACTTTGTGAAACAAGTGAAACTCAAATTAAAAAATGAAGCATGATAAAATGTTGACGAACTGAAATCTTAAACAGACTAAATAAAAATATTCTGATGAATATTGCATTGCTTTAGTCTTGTATTTATTATGTCATTATATTTACTATGAGATGTGTGGGTGGTGTAATGATTAGTAGCTTGGAATGAGAAAGTGGCGAACTGAATTTGAATTTCAGATGAGTTTGTTACAAATCCTCTTGGGAAAGGTATGAATCCATCTCTTCTTTCCCAATCTATGGGTTAATTAGTAGGGCAGACTAAGCTCTTCAGCCTTGATTAGCAACCAGTCGAGGAGAAGGACAACTCTGAATTCAAAACCGGTTGGGAATGGGGCTAACCTACATGCTACAAAAACCATAGCAGCAATACCTAGTATGTTGAGAGCTGTGGGACCTTGGAGTCTACAAGACTTTAGAGAATGATTATTATAGCAGTCTTAATTTGAATGAGGGTTTCATGAGTATGGTGTTCTTAACACAAAACCAGTTAGTGTTCAAAGATTTTGTTTTTTGTCTTTCATTTTACTTTTATTGACAATCTCGCTATGTTCCTAACTCACAAAATCTTTCAACACTAATACCATCCCCACCCTTTTTCCTCTATGTTCAACATTTCACTCCCCTTCCACCCACCACCAATTATAATTTTTAAATCTAAGGTTATTTTCACATAAAGTTTTGCACAGTGAGAAATCAAACAGGGAATAGATTTTTTCTAACAGTTCCACTCTACCCACTTCAAGAACTAATGTTGGATAGTTTTCACCATCCCTCTGTTTATTTCTCATATCTGCTGATAAAGAACACAGGCATGTTCAAAAATTCTGAACTTGGAACCTCAATCTCTGTGCTTCATTTTTGTCACCTGGTTAATATTAATGAATGTTTTTTGTACTGGTTTCATTGGTACCCTTTTGTTTGACTTTGTTTTATTGACCAACTAATCTACGCTATTTCATAAACTATACGAAGCATACATGAATTTCTTTTTCTAATTATAAATTCAAAACCAGGTTGGCAATGACTGGTCACTACAATTAGCTTCATGTATTTGCACACAATCATCAGTGACTTGTAATAAGATGAATGCCCTATATACCACTAGGCAAGTTCAATTTGACAAGCAAACCAAACCATCCATTTTGCCATTTTAGATCTTGGGTGGATGATCTTACCCTCCCTCCCATTGTGCGGGTTTGGTTTGGTTGTCAAATTGAACTCGCTCGGTTGTATATAGGGTATTTATCTTATTACAAGTCACTGGCTACCTGATGATTGTGTGCAAACACATGAAACTAATAGTAGTGGCCAGTCATTGTCAACCTGGTTTTGAATTAATATTCAAAAGCTCTGCCATTTCTTGTGGCATGGAGCACTTTTATGCCAGAAGGCTGTTATTGGGCAGAGTCTATTCGGACCTGTTCATTTAAACTCTGTGTGTGTGTATATATATATATAAGGCAAAAAGCCCAAATCACAGAGCATCTAATGAAGTAACACATTAACAATGATTTGTGACAATAACATAAACCATCACTGTAATTAGAGCTCAGCCAACATGTCAGCATTGGTCAGTTCAATATTTATTTTATCAAGAAGACAGTTCTTACTTGCTAGGTGCAATAAGACAATTTTCACAGTTGTCACTGTTAAAAACAGCTTTCAGTGACTCACATTCAATAAATGCAAGATTGTGTGTCTTTACAATGCCTGTAAGAAAAAGAAAATCACATTAATACTTGGAATTAGTAACAAAATAAATGTTTTATAAACTCTACAAGTCAGATCAGGGTTGAAATAAGTGAAAGAAATAATCAAATTATTGGAAAAAAAAAATGGAAAACTTACTTAACTGAGAAAAATAAACAAATATGATGGATGAAATAAAGAAACCAAATACTTGACAGACAGATTTTTTTTTAAATTAACCAATCATATTAGTGACTAACCATGTCTGCAATACATTTTGAACACAAGCCTGTCATCCTTCATGTTTAAAGAAATCTTGCATTTTTCCACAGTTTTCTCAATGGTTGCTACAGATTTGAAGATATTCAAACATGACTGGAAAGAGAAAAAAATGGTCAGTAGAGATTTGAAGATATTCAAGTTTAGCGTTAACTATTATCTTCCCCACATATCTGCATAAATTGTGCCTCTTACTCTGTAACCCTCTACCTCAAGTGGCATCTGGGCTTAGTACAGAGTCAACATCAATGTAAAAAACACAAATAACATTGTACCCAACAATATGAATTGTTTAAAAAAAAAAAAGAAAAAAAAAGTTCTAAATCTATGCCTAATTTTCCTTCTATCAAAGTTTGAAACTAAATTAACTATGTGGACATATATTCACATGTGTAAGGAGTTTTGAAGTATTAACTTTTTCCCAAAGGTTTAAAAATATGTCTTAAGTTAGAACTCATTCGAAGGAAGCAAAATATATTTGCATGTGTGTGTTTTCCTAAGCAAAGGGCATATCTTTCTGTAGAGCTATGGTCTATTAATCTCTAAGCAATAAAAGTAAAAAAATATGTTGATATACTTACAGACATTGCTATCTTACATCGAGGTGATTCATTTTCATCATTTTGAAATGTTGTTTCATTATCTGATGGTCTGTGGTATTTATCAAAAAATCTTGGGTCAAACAAAAATAAACCAAATGCTGATCTGGAAGAGTTGACAGTTTTGAACGCAAACTAAAATGAATATAAAAAAGTATGAATAAAAGTTTCAAGAAATAAAGAACATTTTTGAAAATTTGTCAAGAAAACAAAAGGCAAAGAAACAAATTTTATATTTCTTTTAGTTGCATCTACAATTCACAATTTGAAGAATGAAAGACAATTGAAATGTTAAAAATTGAAAGAGAAAAAATATGCAATGTTCTTAATTTCTTTACACTATTTACATTATTCAGACTGTTGTCCTCATCTTTATTGCCATATTCACATTTTGGCTATTGTACACTCTGACCTTCTTTAGGTGATGTACGTTGGAATTTTGGTTGAAACATTGTGAATATGGCAATAAAGATGAAGACAACAGTCCAAACAATGTAAATAGTGTAAATAGTTACAATACCTCATCTCAGAAATATAAACATATCTTAATTTCTTGTTTTATAAACATAAACAATGGAAAAGATACATATTCGTTATGTTTGTATTTTATAATACGTTATTAATATGTGAATATTACATGCATTATTATTGGATACAGTTAAGTAAAACATCAGTTTTATCAAAATCATGTTTATTTTAAATACAGCTGTACTTTTTGACTACAGTAAATAAAAGGATATATAGTTTGGTCAACAGCATAGCCAGGGCCAACAGTACATACACTAATTTTATATCTTGTGTATGATGCAACCCTCTTAAAATTAGCTTCAAAATTAGGTCTTCAAAAGTTGCATGATACATGAGTATATATGATACCTTCTTATGAAAATTCAAAGAAGAATGCATCTGGCAGTTACTTTCCCACTGCTGTAGCATAGCTTCCCTGTGCCTTTTCTATAATTACTTTCATGGTAATTGTTCTGATAAATTTTTCTCTATGGCACTTATACTTTATGAGTTTAAGCACAGTACTAGATTGGTGGCAAAGTCTCATTATGTTACAGTTGAAATAGATAGATGTAATCATAAGTTCTATGCTAACAGTTTCTTCTATTGTACTTCTTGCTTGTGGAACACTCTTTTCGGCTTCTTACTTCCCAGTCAACTTTAATCTTCAAAAATTTAAATGCAAGGTCAATCATTATCTTCTGCCTTCTTTATTCTTATCCTTTTATTATTCTCTCTCCTTAAACCTTTGAGCCCTGACCACTGCTTTACTGGTGGTAGAGAAAAATGACTTAATGCCCAGTTGGACGGTGGGTAAACACTTGCATTCTGTTTTGCTATTGGTTGTCTTATTTTGAAGACCCAATCAGAAAAGCTGTAATATTCTGATGTCATCGAACATTATACCAACATGTCCTTGCCTTTTCATTGTGCTTTGTGCATGTGTTTAGGATAAAAAAAAAAAGTTCGTTTTTACCATATAGCATTCAGAATCTCAACCTGGACCATCAGGGAAGCAATCAGGGACAAAACATGTAAGAAAAGAACTCTACACAGTACAGCAGGTAATTGATATGCTTCATGATTCATTGGAGACAAAGACGACACTGTCCAGGCTGTAAAATCTTCAGTCTTCTGCACAACATGCCAGGGCTTCTTGTGCATAAAGAGATACAACACCTGCTGGGTAGATTCGCACACAAAGAAACAGTTCTGGCAATAAAGTGAAGGCATGCAATCATACTCTCTCCCCGCTTATATTTTATGTAATTATTTTTATATCTACCGTGAAACATTACATAACAATTATTTGCAAATTTTGAATCAGGAGCTCAGGCAGAAGGGTTAAAATTGTTCAGGAACGCAGGGCTCAAAGGGTTAATAGTGCTTTTTTTTTTCTTATTCTCTAACACTCAGTATCCCCTTGTATCTTAGTGGCAATATTGCTTGGGATGAAATGATTTTTTTTTAAAAAAAAAAGGAAAGCAAAAAAAAAAAAAGGTAGCTGTTCCAAATAAAATTCTCTTTCCTTTTGTGGAAGATCAAGAAATTATAAATCAGAATATTGTATTTTCATGCTTAATTCAAATGTTTAAATATAAATTAAATCTTTACAAATAAAACCTAAATTCTTTATAATCAATATTCAGTGTATTGTTTATTTAACTGCCAATAGAATTTGAAATCTGATCACTACATTTTGTGCTATATTATGTCAGTACCAATAGTTAGTAGATACTGACTGGAAAAATAATTTCATGTTTCTTTCTAATTACTAGTCATATTTATAGAAATTTCATTATATATCAGCAGTTTAACTAAAGAATATAAGTTAATATATTTTAATAATAATCTTCTATGTGCTGTTTTGCATGAGGACATGGTGGATCATGGCTCTCCACAATTTTCTATTCCTTTTACTAATACAGAAAACAAATCATTATTTGTAGTTTTTTTTTTCCATTTATGAATTTACATATCATGAAAAAAAAAACTATTACTTTTAATTTTAAATTAACAAAAGAATATACTGCATAAAAATATATCTTTCTGTCTTGAAATTTTTTTTTGCTCACCTTTGCTACTTTCAAATTTTATATTTTACAATTCTCTGGCTGTGAAGAAAGAAACATAATATTGTCTATGGCTAAATACGGGTTGTGACAAACATTTTAATATTGTCAAGAGTTTGATATTTAAATTTCATTTATTGTCACTGAATAGAACAGAAAAAAAAAATTAAGCCACCGACCAACACCAATTATCTCCCTTTGATACCAGAAAGTAAATTATTGCAAACAGTGCAAGAGAAACACTACAATTATAACTTTCTTTGCTATATTTTATTGCTTGACCATTTTTATAGTTTCAAAAAAGAAAAAAGAAATCTGTAAACAATATAGCAACTATAAAATTGAAGATAGTCTGAACTTAACCTTTACTATTTTATTAGAGTTGCTTTCATATTGAAAATATATAGTGAAAATAAGCAAGATAATAAAATAATTTTGTTTCATATATTTGTAATGTATATTATATGATTATTATGATTAATATTTCTATAAAGTTATTAAATGTTAAAGAAATTTTTGTAAAGGAATTTATCAGAAATATATGGTCAGTTAAAAAAAAAGAATACTCGAAGTGTCAAAAGTTGGAAATATTTTCAAATGATCATTTATACTCACCCCATTTTCTAGTGGTTCAATATACAACTCTTCTCCGATCTTTGCAAGAGAATGGATGGCTCGGGCAAAAACTGCAAATATATTAACATTAATGGAAAAAAGAACACATCAAAAGTTCATTTTATATTGTAACATGAAATGACTCCATGATCTATTATATTTTAAAACTTTTGGCAGTATTATAGCTTCATCAGAGAATGATAGAATTAATAAAAAGTGAAATATGTTAGATTTATAAATGTTTCCTATTTGTTCTTTATCTTATTATTCCATTGTATTCCTTATATATATATATATATATATATATATATATATATATATATATATATATATATATAGATAGATAATATTAGTGGAAAATATACATACATATGCAAAATATATAAATACCCATACATGTATATTTTTAGAAAAAAAAAAAATTCCAAGAGGAAGAATCCAGATAGAACTCAATGTCTAGGACAGAGTAAGGATATAATAAAAAGGCTTAAACACTAATATTCCATGGTCATAATTTATTCCATACGATTCCAATGGAATAAATTATGACCATGGAATATTAGTGTTTAAGCCTTTTTAAGTACCACGCATATAATATATAAATAATTATACATATATATATTTATTTATATTTATATACACTTTTCATATATATATATATATATATATATATATATGAATAAATTACATAAAAATGAGACTATTACCTCAATCAGATGGCCATTTTACACCCGGGATATTCTCCCTGGAGCTTGTTAAAAACAAACGTTTTTGCATTGACAAACCCCAGGAAGAATATCCTGTAGGTGAAATGGCCATCTGAATGGGGTAATAGAGTTTCATTTTTATGTAATTCATTTATATGCTCTATAATAAATATATTGAGCTCTCTTTTGTGGATCAGTTTTATACTACCTCAATGGACCGAACAAAAAAATTATCTACTACAAAAAATTTAAAACAGCTAACCTTATCCTCAAAAAAACAACACACCTGCAAAATCAAAATTACAAAGAACAAACATTATTTATGAGTTTAAATACCCCTTAAGGAACTGTATTCCTGATCAAACTGAACTCATAATTACACACTCCATCTGAAATGTACTAGCAGAAAATAAAACATCCCCATAACTCTAGAAACAAACACACAACCCATGCATCCAGTTAAAAAGTAAAAATAAAATCGACCTTGATAATGGGTAAAAGTATAGCCAAAAGTGCTTGGAATTACAGGACATTTGGACAGTTTCTACACATTCTGTGTTCAAAAAAGAAAACACTTGTTCAAACATAAGAAAAATTAAATAAAAGCTTAATCACAATACCTTGTCTGTTGTCTTTAATGAAACATTATATAGTCTGATCCTAGGTGGAAGTTGGATGGAGTAAAGAAACAAATTAGACACTGGTTTGGAGAAATGACCAAAGATTTATTTTCAATTACAAAAAGATGTCTCTGGTAAGTCATGTAGCGTTCGAATGTACAGTGTACAAGGTGTGAAATGAAAGTATATAAAAAAAAGAATATGCTTAAATCAGGTGACTGCTTGTTGGCTTTCATTTGGGGCTTGTTGTGTTTATAGTGGAGTCTGTTCTCTTTCTGTGTTAACAAGAGGTTGTTTTCACAGCCTAATGGTCAGACAGGTAGTTAGCCGTGGTCTTGGGTAGCCTCTATGGTTAGCGTGTGTGTGTAAGTCTCTCTCTGCTCTTTCTCTCCAGCTTATAGCCTATATAAGGGAAATGCACGGACATAGTTGTAGATATCTGTGGCAAGCAAGAGTCGTGTTGATAATGGTCAGCACTCTGGTATATATGTGTTTGTTTTAAAATTTATTTTGAGTGGAGTGCAGCATATCTGTGACTTAGCTAGATGAAAATTGGTTTGTAGTTAGAGATATATGTTTTCTAATAATTGTATACATTTGGCTTTAATTTGTTATCTTTAACTATGTGTGAATTGTGTTTTTCTACTAAATATTAACATTAACATGTTTTGCCAATGAACCAGCTTCATCAGCAAACAAATTTACATTTCATAAATGAAATATAATTCTTTTTTAGATGACACTGGTTCATCAGTGAAACACGTCAAAGTAAAAATTTTCAAAATTGTCTTTACATAAATATAATATATTTAAGCAGCAAGTTTTCATCCAAACAAGTTTGATTTAAAAAAACTGATATGGTCTGTTTAATATTTTTTTTATTGTATTTTTCCAATTTCTGAATAAAGTGTTGAGTATTGTACTCAAAACTGTGGATAAACTGACTGAACTTTATACACAATTTTGACCGCACACAACACTTTATTCAGGAATTGGAAACATACAATAAAAAATTAAACAGACCTTGTTGATCTTTTTAATCAAACATATATATATATATATATATATATATATATATATATATATAAAATAAAATAAATATCTCCTAAGGAGCAAGGTACTACCTACCTAGGTTTCACCACATGGGATTATCAGAGTGAACTGGCTAAAAAGGAATTAATGAGGAACAAATTTATTGATAAAATTGTGGCTAAAACCTAAAATTAGCATAAGACACAAAACATTTGACTAAAGCAAAACAAAACCTTTATTCTAATAACCAGGCTTTCTTATGCCTGCATCTATTAAAAATTTCTGACCTCTGGTTTAATAAAACTTTTGGTTTGATGACGGTAGCTTTTGCTAACTTCTCCATAATATACAGTACTTGTTGCCGGCTTTATACTTACAACACCCACTGAGTTTAAATAGATTTACATTATATATATATATATATATATATAAATAGAGATATGAAATCACTTTTCTAAAGAACATTCTGTCTTTAGTAATTAAAATTTTCTCTAAGGACATTGGTAACTTGTAATGGACATGTTATTTCCCTTATATTTTGCTTGGTTTGTAAAATTTGGAATAAAGTTGTAATGATTTCAAAACAAGTGATTTCTGAGAAGTAAGATTAAGTGAAAACATTGAACATTAATTTTTTGCAGATTTATGAGTGAAGTATAAAGCTAGACATTTACAGCAAGTATTCATGTTATGCCTAAGATAAATTTTAGTCATACACAAAATAATATAGAATATTTCCAAAATAACAAAAGTTGGCAATACACCTGTCGCAAATATTTAGTCAACTTAGACCAATTCACTAATCTGATACAAAACTTAAGTTTAAGTACACAAGGTGCAGACTGAATGCATTCCAGAATGTTAAATGGGCTTGAACCCCTATCAATTGCTATGATGACATAGAGAATAAACAGAAAACAAATCTCAGTTTCACTCCAATAAGAGTCAACAATATGAGTATTATCTACAGACATAAAGAAATGTTCCTGATATATTTTTCAGTGAATAATAGCATAGGAAAAATAGCACTAGTGAAAAAATAGGAAAAAAAATGGCACAAGTGAAAAGCAGACTCTTTAAACAGCTTAAAACATATTTTATTTTATTAGAATTGTTTTTCATAAATTTTAAACATAAATTTATATTAACAAATGGAGGTGAAACAATTCTACTTTTTTTGCTAATATTAAAATATATATATATATATATATAAAACATTACATTTTTTTAATTAGATTTCATTTTTGCCAATAGTATCAGTAAACTTATTTTTTCCTATTTTCTCACTTGTGCCATTTTACCATGCCATTATTGCCTAAATTCATATTTTTCATATGATAAAGGAGAGACAATTTTTAAGTTTATCAATAAGGTTTTTAAGAGCAAAGTTTAGAGAACAGAGCAAATAATAAATTCTTGATAATCATAGTGTGATACTAAAATATATAATTCAACTTCAGAAATCATATACCAGTGTTTTACTAAGTTCCATATAACAAAAATTTCTTTTAACTCAATTTGTTGGTTTTCCAGAAAAAAGAAGACCTCAAGCACACATTTCATATAAAAATGAAAATTAGCTTTGAAAACCAATTAGTAAAATAAATACCTACTTTCAAACTGATATTGTTTTAAAAGTAATTTTAAAGTAGGTTCTGAAATGAAATATGTTTGCTTTTTTTCTTTTTAATTCGATAATGGTTTTAATGCTCAAATTTAAGAACAATATCCACACTGAGTTTTTTTACCTGAATATAGAGAGCTCTCAGATTTCACTTGGTGGGCAAAATGTTAGACATTTATTTATCTCTTGGTAAAGGAAAATGTGCAAAAAAATATTAATGACAGTTTTATTGTGAACAAGACTGCTCTTTTGTTACATTTTCTCAAGTGCTGAAGAGAATGGTTGCATCTTTCTTTATCTACATTTTTAAAATGAAAATGTTTGTTAATATTTTTATTACATTAAACAACACTGCTACTTTGCAAGCTGGGTGCTACAAAAAAAAGTGAAGAAGCTATATGAGATATTACGTTTTAAATATTCGTCATTCTATATTTTTGATCTAATCCTTTTTAAATGAACATTTTTTTAAACTTTCGTTTGTATCCATTTTCTGGAATAAGACTTAATCTTTTTCCACGTATAAAAGTTTTAGAAGCTAATGCTTAAAAAAAGGAAAAAAAAGCATCGAAAATAAAGTTTCAAATTTATATTGAATTGAAAATTAATGGCACCATTAGTTAGACAAATGATGCAGCTCAGCTCAATAGCACTGTCAAAGATTGAGGACAAATTTAGTCTTTAGTTTTCAGTTTCAACAATAGTGTCGCGGAGTTTTTGCTTTATTTATTACAAAACTGTGGGGGAAGGTTCCCTTTTTCTATGTGGCTTAGTGAAAAAGAAGAAGCAAGCACAGTAATGTTTAAGATAAAGAAGAAAAATTAAAGATAGTGACAATCTTTTGTTTATGTCGAGAAATTCAAAAATTATAAGGGGAAATTACTCTCACTTGCTTAAATTACATCAAAGAGCTTGCATTCTCCATCTATGCACCAATAATTTTAATTATCAAAAAGAAAGGTGAAGTAATACGAGTTCTAAAAACAAAATTAAAAGTAACAAAACTTCATTTATTTTATTAGTAATAATAAAGTGGATACTAGTAATAAACGAAATTATTAAATGAAATTCATTGTCAACGAAAACTTGACAAACTCTTGTAAACATGTGCTCCTTAGCTTCAGTCATTTTTCGATAATTAAGTTAAGTTTAATGTTGGACCAGTTGCTTTCAATCGTGACCGTACTCACAGTGGCATCAATCGAATTCATTTATTACAGGATGACTTCATCGCCTATTATATGCTTTCCATTCACCAGAAGCATGTTCCCGAAAGGCAAGAATTGAAAGCAAAATGCGTGTTGAAGAGATACAGAAATCAAGACACACACAAAAAAATAAATAATAATGAAACCATTTTTAAAAAATAGATATTATTATTTTGTAATGTACAAAAAAAAGAGAGTAGTTTCCCTTTATTTCTTGAATTTACCGACATAAAATGAAAGATCATCTTCTGAGTAATTATTATTATTATTATTAAGATGATTACATACTTCGTTTTTCTTCTTCAGTCACTGATTGATTGAATTTAAAGAACAGAAAACATCTAACTAATTGCAAACATTATTAATATCTATAAAAATGAAATAAAATAAAACATAACTAAATTTGCAATACACAACTTCCATTGCTAATTAATTACCTTTGATGTTTTTACCCGGAATGATACAGTTCATATTCGGGGGGGAAAAATGTTTTTTTGTTTTCTTTTTTTTTTTTTTCAGCAAAAGTAATTTGCTGTCGGAAAACAAAACTTTACCCCCAACGATTTATACAAAGTACTTCCTTTGGCAGTATCAACGCTATTGAATGGTCAAATTAATTTCAATCAACCAATCACATATCGCCTACCATATCGTATTGGTGATGAGTCAGGTGCCATACTTCTTGTGGACGTTTTTACTCTTGTAACAATTATCAATTATTCATATTTCGCGTTACTTTAAAGGATTTTTGACGTTTTGGCTGCGTGTGGAACCAATTCTTCACTGCCAATATGGTATGTTATTTTTCTTGAAACTATAGTTTTTTATGATATGGCGATGGAGTTATATCAAATTTTAAAATTAAAATAAACCGGTGATGTTTTTAGTCAAGGTGGGCGTGTTATTTTCTTTGAGTATGTCAAATTTTCCAATTCATTTTATTTTTCTGTCCGTTATTATTTCTATCAACACTAATTTAACATTGTATCATTGTACTTGGAGAAATTACCATTAAAAATTCTTGAAATACAAAGACTTTTCTGAAAAACCAGTTTCGTGTTTATCTTTTCTGTTCTAATTTGCAGATTCCAAATATTTTTATCAATAAATTTTTAACAATCCTAGAATTTTTTTAAAGTTTCAATAAGTCTTATGATCTGAAATACTTTTTTGTTTAAGTATGTTTAATATTTTCTCTTAAGTTAATAATATGCTGCAAATTATACAAGTTTTAATGAACACCTGAAATGTGAGACTTTATTTCTAAATTAAAAACTAACTTCATATTTTAAGAATAAAAATGAAATCGTTGTGCCACCTTTTATTGTTTTAAGATTTGGGGCTTTTTTTTTCTCGTTTATTTTAATTACAAATTGTAGCGAGTGTCAGAATAAATCTGTCGAATATGAATGAAAATAAATTATTATTTAATTAATTGTAGCTTACACAGACACATATCTTTTCAAAAAGCGGATAGGCAAATAACAGACGAAAAATTTTATAATTTTTTATTTGTTATGTTAAAACATCTGTAACTAAAAAAGGTCTTGCCTTGATCTGATTTTACATTTACAATCTTAGCATCGAACAATAAAGAAAATGCGAAAACAAAAAACGAAGATTAATGGAGAAATTTCTATTTCGAAAGTATATTTTTGAAAAAAAAATTTAATTTTTACGACAGTTCAAGAATTGATAAAATTAGTATGCTGGTGCTTTGAGGAATTCTCATTATTATTGTACGTTACTAATGATTAGTAACTAATCAGACTAACGTGCTTGTAGTATGTTTATCATAACGTTTCGACTGTTGTACCCTCCACCCTTTTTCAGGTGTCTGTCATATTCAGAATTTGAACTTTTTTTTTTTTACTTTTTTTTTTTTTTATTTAATCTACAGAGGTCATGTTCACTTGACATATGACCTTCTTAGTGGCAACTACTTTGTTTTTTTAAAAGTAGGTGCCTTATGTGATACCCAAGTTTAAATTTAAAATGAATTTTAAAAAATGAAATATCTTTCCTGACGCTTTTTAATTCCAAGCTAATTAGCTGAAATATTCTCAATTAGAAAAATTCGGTATATTTCAAATCAAATTCATTGGAATCTTTTTTTCTAAAATCAATAAATTCGTCCATCGTCCATAAAGTCTGTCAACAAACAATTCTCTTTATTAAAAAAAAAAAAACTCTTTCAAAAATAAAATATACTTTTCTGAAGCTTTATTTGAAGAAGATTATCTGCTTTAAAGTTTAATTAATCTGAAATGAAACAACTATATTACTTCTAGTTTATCACAAAAAGCTTGTTTTTTTATTTTAATATTTGATGAAATGCAATGCCATTGTGTGAAACAATGGGAGGAAGGGCGATGAGCTGCATTTATTAATACTTCCAAAGATGTCTTACAAATTGCTTACAGTGAGTAAACTAAACAACTCTAAAAATTAATCCAAATTCATTATTACATGCCTTACTATTCAAATCAGCTTGCTTATCTTGGTTGTTATATTCAGTGTTTCGACTTTTGTAACTTTCAGCCTTCTTCAGGTCAATGTCTCAAAATTTTATTTTGGAGGTACCTTCAAAAATTTGCTAAAAAAGGAGGACATGTGATGAAAAAAATAAAAAATGGCCAAGAACCAACAAATTTTATCATCAAAACTTTCATGCTCTGCTATATTATTAAGGGGAAAGAGCAAAGGATTTTTTTATCCTTTTTAGAACCTTGGAAATTTTCGTTAAAAATCATTATTTTGGCATCAACACTGGACCATAAGTTTGTATGAGAAACGTTTATTTTTTTTGTTTTTTTTTATGGTGAAATTCTTGCAAAAATCAGGTAATGGTCAGATTTTAATCAAACTTTCAGGACTTATTCAAAAATTAAACTATTTTTTAATTTTTTTTTTCATCTGTTAGCTCACACTCATTTCATTTTTATGAAATTGAGAAATTCTTTTTGTCCCAATTAAATAATCTTTATATTTGTTAAGGACAAGTCCTCAGAATTTAAATCATCAAATTATTTTTGGCCAAACAGGACCCGCAGTTGTAGAAAATCTACCCTGAATATTAAAATAAAAAATGTAATACAACTAAGACTTTTTAATAAAAAAAACTTTTAATTGCTTTTATGAATAAAATATATTATGGGCACTATTATCTTAAAAACATTTTTTTCTGATGAAAAGAAAAACTTTATTTTTAAATTTTAATTAGAATTTATAAACTTTTAAATCTTAAAATTCTGTATTAATTTGTGGCAGCCAAGTGATATTGTTATTAAATTAAAACTGTATTTACTAATCACAAATAGACAGCTCACTACAATTCAATGACTTCCCAAACATTTTAAAAACAATTCAGTGCTTTTTTTTTTTTTTTTTTTTTGAAGCTTTATTTGAAGAAGATTAGCTGATTTAAAGTTTAATTAATCTGAACTATTACTTCTAGTTTATCACAAAAAGCTTGATTTTTTTAAAAAATTTTTTTAACACTGAGGGAGTGTTTATATGACATTGAATGATTTATTGTTTAGGATATTTAAGTACATAACTATAAAATTTTATTTAAATAAAATGTGAATGCTTTTATTTTCAATAATTTTTTTTAATTACCCAGTAATCTTAAAAATTTAGGTATTTTGGCTTTGTAGTCATACTTACAAAGACGTTTGTTGAGGAAATGCTTTAAAATTACCAATAAATTTATTATAGATACTGTTATATATATATATATATATATATATATATATATATATATATATATATATATATAATCTGTTGTTCTGGGTATCTTGAAGGCATAGGTTTGGTATATACTGGTCTTCATAAGTTGAAGTTGGTGTTTCTGGATTAATTTTTGGACTGATGCAATCGTATTATATCACAACATGAAAGTTATTTTGAATGACTATTCTTTTAGTCTTTTAGATCTGTTTGCATTAATGCAGGTGTTTCTCAGGACTCTATCCTTGGACCTATGTTGGTCCTAATTTTCATAAATGACCTTCCTGATGTCACAATTATTTACTCCTGTCTTAATAAGTCTGATCAGTTTGCTAAGGTCAGATTGGCAGCTGATCTCAAAAACGACTTACAATCTGTTGTTAACTGGGGCAAAAAATACTTGTTAATTTTAAATGCCTCCAAAATGAAACTGCTCTCTTGTAATTGTCTGAGAGAACTCTTTTTACCTTTTATCAGCATGTCACTCCAGCAGAGTGACAAATTGTGCCTTCTCAGAGTAATGTTTTCTGCTGGCATGAAATGGAAAGATTACATTGAATCAATTGATAGGAAAGGTGGTTCTCTGTGTTGTGCTAGGCAGATTTTCTTGCTAGATTCTTATCTTGCATGTTTATAAGTCTGCTATTTTGTCCATGCTTTTAATATTCCTGCTGTATAGGTAAAGGTTTTTGATGAAAGGTTCTAAAAAGGATAAAAAAAAAAAATCCTTTGCTCTTTCCTCTTAATAATATAGCATATGAAAGTTTTGATGATAAAATTTGGTTCTTGGCCATTTTTATTTTTTTTCATCACATGTCCTCCTTTTTTAGCAAATTTTTTTAAGGTACCTCAAAAATAAAATTGAGACCTTGACAAGCACCTGAAGAAGGCTGAAAGTTACAAAAATCAAAACACTGAATATAACAACCAAGTGGATTAATTTAGAGTTAGTTTACTGTAAGCAATTTGTAAGACATCTTTGGAAGTATTAATAAATGCTGCTCATCCCCCTTCCTCCCATTGCATTTCATCAAATATTGTAAATTTTTAGAGTTTGTATTCATTTGGTGGTGTCATCAACCTATGACAAGGAAAGTAACTGCCCCCCCCCAATTAATATATTTTTTGTTTGCCATTTATCCAGGTTGTAAAAACAATGCCATTTTTTTTTTCTTACAGTGATATTCACCTTGCACAAGGCTGGGAGCCATCCATGGTAGAGTGTGACATTTATGGGGATATGTGGGAAGACAATGATTAAACCTAGACTTGAACAAGTTAAGATTGTAGTGATTGGGAAACGTCCTCTTGAGAGTCAGTTCCACAGAACAGTGGTTTGCAGGAAGAAGCTGCTTGAGTGGGACTTGCTTCTCTCAAATGGAATACAAAGGGAATTGAGGGATGGTTCATGTGCATGGCATGGTAGGTCTTAGTCGTGATGGTTAGAACTGGTGGAACTAAGGAATGTAGTTCTTCTGAACACTTTCTATGGAAATAGTGATAGAGCAGTAAGAGGCTTGTGATGTTTCCTCTTGTAGGGTGAAAGATATTTTTTCACCCACAAGGATGTAGAGAGACTTTTGGACCCATCAAGTCGAAAATGAAGAATGGACAGTTCCTTCCCATCTGTAAGTTAATTACAAAGCTCTCAATATATTCAAGTTATGGTACAATTGAAGAGTAGGAGAAAGTTAAACAAAAAATTTTGAAGAAATGGAGTAATTGGAATAGAACCAAAGCTACATTGAGTAATTAAACTTATCGGTGTAAAGACCAAAAGAATGATCATAAGTAGTCATCTGTTTTACATGGGTCTATTGGCAATCTTTAACCTTTATGCCCACAAAAAAATTGAGTCAAAAGAATGGTTTTTCCCTTGACATTGCTATTATTTTAATTATCTTCACTCCTTGGCAATGTTTGTTTAATGAGAATTTACAACAGAAATAATAAACACTATTTACTTATTAGATTGTTTATTAACACTGTTTACTTATTAGATTGTTTATTGGAATGGTTAGCAAAATAACTAATTGCCAATTGATTCAAATTTTATTAAAAG